CTCAGCAGACTATGGATATGGATTCAATGTTAGCTGAAATTGATGCAATGTTAGCTGAAATTCGGAAATAAATGCCAATCCGGAGCAGGCCAAAGGTGCTTTGCATGATCGTGTAATTTCCCCGGCCGAAGGCACTTAGGGTAAGGTGCTTTGCTATTTTTTTTTGATTTAAGATACAGCATATATTATTTATGACGCATACAAGTATTTTTATTATACCGGAACTATTGGAACAGGTTTTACATTTCTTAGCAATAGATAACTCCCTCTATTCCACTCTATATGTTTCCCGATTGTGGTACAGATGCGGTGTCCCTATTCTGTGGAGACGCATTGAGCTAAAGGGAAATGACTTATATCCCAGGCAATCTTTTCCAGATGATTATAATTATTGTGAAAAGGACCGCTCTCATTTGAAGAAATTCATAAAATTAGTATGTGGGAGGCAGAAGCCAGTTTATTGTTTGGATGTAACTCATCTCGAAATTTCCTACTACCATTCACTTCGGGATGAAAAAATTATAAGCATTGTACATTCATGCCCAAATATAATCCATTTGAGTTTTGAAAATAGCATAGGATTTAGTAATAGATCATTAGAACTGATAGCAGGTTCATACCCGAATCTGAAGTATCTCAATTTATATGATAATCAATCGGGTAACTATGTAAGCTTTCGTGTTCGAGAAGTAGGTGATGGAGGTTTATGGAAAATTGCACGGTCATGCCATAATTTAGAATATCTAAACATTTCATACCGCACAGAGATTCTTGAACCATCGATTTGTAATATTATTCATTCCTGTCCAAAGCTCCAGCATTTTAGCCTTAGATTTTGTGAAATTAGTGATATGACTATCAAAGAAATTGCTTGTTCATGTCTTAATTTAAAATATCTCGATCTGAAAGGATGTGAAAATATTAGCAAAGAAGCCATAGATCGGCTGGTTTCAGCACTTACTCCAAATATCCATGTCGAGAATTTTGTGGGCACTATAACAACTCCTGATCTGATTGGATTGGTTATAAATCATCTTACACAGAACAACGTTGCTAGTAGACAGACTTTAGCTCAGAGCCTTTTAGATCTAAGTATGCGAGATAATCAGAATTTGGTTCTATCTCAGATGCGCCGGCGACATAGAGCTGGTGAAAGAATATTAGCCCCAGAATGGTGGTATTCTACTGATCTAACTAATCCAGAGCAGTGATCACTTCGCTCGAAAGAAGATTTTGCTAGGCCACAACCATCAAGTCAGTTATTTTTTACTTTGCTATAATAAATTAGATATATTAACATAACTATAACACAGACCATGGGCAATATAGCACAAGTTGATCAATCCGATATAGAGAAGTTCCGATGTGAGATAGAAAAGGTAGATAAAGTAGCATTTCCATTACAATTTGATAGCTCTGTAAGCGAATACATTAAAATGATAAAGTTACATGCTATTGGTATTGGCAGGGATTTAGATGATATAGTCGTAAAAGTGAAATTCATTAGCGGATTATCACCTGACAATGAAAAGCGTGTGCATGAGTTTGGGGTTAAAAAACCTTTGTCCGAAATATTCGAACATTTACTTAAGCCTTCTTGTCCGGAATACTGATCATCAACCGAAGCGGTGATCTTCAGCTCGGAAGAATTTGCTGGGCCACAGATTGTGCGATAAAAGCAGGCTGATCACTAGACAGGTTTGTGCGACATTTTGCATATTAATTTCGCATATATGTTCGCTAACCAATACATCTATCTTTTTTTCCCCAAACAAATGTGAGAAAAATGTGAAAGGAGGTCTAGTTGCAACACAGGACCTACCGTAAAAGTAAATATTGACGGCAAAAGCATATGTTATGAACGAGAACTCCGCAATTTCCGAGATCTACTTTATTAACCTAACTTTGCGTCTTGCGTAGAGATCGCTATGCCAAAAAGGGTTTACATTACCCTATTTTTATCATTGTCCGCAGTGATTAATGATGATGATATATATAAACAAGTTAAGAGGGTTGCTTAAAACAAATCTCGGTCTCCGAATACGAATTTGTATAATTTCATGTAATAATGTTTTTATTATTAATACGGAGATAGTACTTATTTTGTACCAAGATTACCATGGAGGAAAATAATATATAAATATGATAAAATTGAATCTAAGATACTCATTTCTAGAAAATGGCAGGAAATTCTATCTGGTGCTTTCTCCAAGGAGTAGACGAGAGCTTTCCTGTTAACGTTAAAGGGATAGAAACGATTAAAGATCTTAGGGATTTAGTCTTATGCCAGCAAAAGAAGTTTATTCGTAATATCAATGTTGACAAATATAATATTTTCCAAATATTCATTCCAATTGATGATATCGCAGAATTTGGGAAACTAAGACAAAATCCGACTGAGATAGAGCGTGTGAAATTGGAGGATTCCCAAGAAGTATCCGCAATTTTTGAAACAAATGATACCCATATTCAAGCTTTCATAGGTAAGGTAACTCCACCTACCTTGAAAGAAGTGCTGGAAAAAACAGTATCCACTCTGATTATTCAAAAGTTGGAAGAACTGGTAAAACAGAATCAGGAATTGATAAAACTAATTAGTACGTATGAAGAAAGTTACAACTGAAATAACAATCATTTATATTAGTGTAGTAGGAAACTTAATAAACGGTTGTTTGTAAACTCATTTTAGGTGCTCGAAGAACTAAATCAGTTCAACAAGGAAAAGAACTGGATGAGATATGTAAGACAAGAGTATTAAGAGTTGGTGATGCATTGCGTTTTGAGAAAAGATACGAAACGCTAGCGGACATAGAAATACGGCGTAGCTTTACGGTTTGTAGGTTGTCTTTTAAACCGTTAGTTGATTTTTTTTTTAAGTATTACTATTGGTTTCTTTTCAGATCGCCAGTATAAACAACGAGACCTATATCCCCACAGTAAATAATAGCGATCAGGGAGCAAATATTCAGTTGATAGTTAATAGTTTAAGTCTGCTTGAAAAAGAAATTATAAATATTGACGTCAGGCAAGAGATTACCGATCGAATTACTGGAGGAAATAGAAATAATTTTATCAATGATCTCCAAGTTTATAATCGCAGAACTGATATTGGCAGATATAATAAAATTTATCAGCTTGTCAACAATCCCAATTTAACGGATACGGAGCTCATAGATGGAATTTTGGAAATACAACTTGCTAAGACGTACCCGGAAAGGAATTTTTATTTCAACATTCTTAATGTCGAAATGAAAGTTAGCGAATATATTAATAGGTATTTTTATACATGGAAGTAAATATGTTTGTTTTAATAGTGTAAACCTCAATGTAATAAAAATTATTATGCGCAGTATATTATTGGTATCACACGTGATGTGATTCAAAAAATGTGTTTTTTGCTTAGTCACGAAATAAATAATCACATGGCTGGACACAGACGTTCCTTATGCCTCTACCTATTTTTCCCAAACAAATGTGAAGTTGCGATACATATAAGTAAATGGTGCCGACAGAAACTTATGTTATGAAGGGCTGAGAACTTTGTAATTTCGAGATCGCCGGGCGTAAGACCAACTATGTGTCTCTCCGGTAGATCTACATGTGAAAAGGTATGAGGGTTCCGTTTACATGTGCTTTCATAGAACTCTTGGACAATACTAATCACTATTCTTATCTCCTTATATTTTTCCCAGCAAGATATAAAGCATGTAGCGGTATGTGGAAGTTCAGCCAACCTTCCGCAAAAAAACTTTCCCAGAGAAAATAACGCAAAATAAGGTATGTACTGTATATGCCAGAAGTTATGTATGAGAGCGAGTTTTTCTCACTATGGGTCTTGTATTTAGGAAAGCAAGATGTCTGATACTATTATTATTACTCTCAATTGTCTTCTTTTACCTCGCGAGATAGGTGATAGATCAAATCTATCAGAAGGAAGTATTACTACGCTTAAAATCTCTACCGGCGAAACAGTTGATCAGTTAAGAATTATGATTAGAGAAAGGTGGCCATCCTTATTTGAAAAGATTCTTCCTGCCGTCTTTTTACTCTGGAAGATCAATGACACCGGGAAAGATACATCAATTGGAAGCCAAATTGAAGAATATTCTCGTGGGGAACGTCAAAATAGAACAGGAATGCCTCCACATGAGTTGATTTCTAACTATTTCCCCAACGACCCCCTAATGATAGAATTAATTATTATGTATTCATTTAAAACATCATGTAATAGCGATATATTCGTAATTTTATTTATTGTAGGCCGTGGGTTCCGGCAACGTTTTTATTCATAAATAAAGTATTATTATTTTATCAGTACATGAGAAATGGTCACGTGTGATGATGCAATGCCTGTGCTACATAAAAACCTATATTAATGGCCAGTATTCTCTTTCCCGAACAGAAATAATGTTTTATCTTACTCCGGAAAGTAACACTATTTTTGTCCGAGCCTAATAACCATATAAAAAGCGCTATGTCAACTACCACTCTCAGTTGTTTAGTCGTGGGTGAAAACCCTTATGAAAATGCTTTTCAGGTTGTTATCGACACCACTCAAATAAAGACCGTGGCGTTGCTCAAGGACGCTATCAAGGAAAAAATTGACGATAACGTTAAGGCAAAAGACCTCAAGCTATGGAGGGTCGACATTTCCCTCGAAGAAGAAAACGAAAAACTTAAGCTCGTCAATGAAAAAATTAACGTTAGTATCAAGGACGAACTTGAAGGTGTAGAGTTGAAACCGCTTTCGAAGATTAGCAAACACTTTCCTTCCCAGCCAGCCGACGAGCACATACATATCATCGTACAACGTCCTGTTGAAACGAAAGAAGTTCACTGCACCGCAACGTATGGGCGTGAGTCAGAGAAATTCTTGTGGGCTGTAACTCGTGGGCAAATAACCTTGTCAGCTTTGAAGACGAGGCTTCGAACTTGTTTTGCTTTCCCGGATGGAACTGAAGACGAGCATATTGTCATAATTCGTGAGAATGGAAAGGAGCATGTTCGTTTGGTCGATGATGAGGATTTGGCATGTATAATCTGGACTCAAGGATTCAAGGTGGACCTCCCAATTATCGTGGACACATGTAGGTGTGGTGGTGATTTTTTTATGAAATTTACGCAACAGACTCTAACAGATTTAATCTTTGTGTTTCTACAGCACAACAACCATTCTCGTCGTGGACGTTTCCTAAAATCAAGTCATTGTTCGGGTTAACAGCTGATAGTTATATTGATCTTCCTAGGTTCGATGGAGGCTCCGCTGATGCCTCCGATTACAAAAAGGTATTGGAGCACGTTTTGGAAGATATAGCTATGAAGCATAAGACCTGCATTCACGTAACTAGTGCAAACGAAGCAACAAGACGCGAATTTATTTCTTCCGTTCTTCACGGCGTTGCCTCTTGTTATGATGGTGATGTGAAAGTATGTCCAGAATATGAGTTATCTGGAAGCCATGGTAAAGGGCCAGTGGATTGGGTTATCAAGATTGGAGATACGATTATTGTCGTTACCGAGGCTAAAAGGGAGGATATTAACCAGGGTGTTGGCCAGAATGCAATTCAGTTACAAGCTTCTTCTCAACGTAATAAAAAGAAACGCACATACAATGAGGCTTTACGTGAAGATGTAATGTATGGTATCGTTTCGACAGGGGTCGACTGGGTCATAATTAAGTTAGTCACTACTGGCGAATGTAATGACAATGATAATGGGAATGTTGAGGTATTCCTGAATTAGCAAAGTTGTATTCCCAAGATGAGTTGGAATATTGTCTTACCTGCAACAGTTCAAGCAATAAACTCA